TTCCAGCCTAGGCCATTCTAGGATTCTGTGTTTGGGGGTAATTTTTTTTTATTCCTTCCCATTTTATTTTTTTAAGTACTTACTTTAGACAAATCCCAGTATTTTGCCATTATCCACTTTCCCTGGAGTGTGGTTGCTGCCTTTTTTTGGAATATTGCTTAATTTGAAAAAAAAAAAGTGTAGTGAAAAATGCAAAGCTCAGAATGTGAATTTCTCTGTTAAAACTAATTTGCCCTTTGTTTTGCTTATTTAGACTTGCTTAGATTTTTACATTTATTTTCAGATCAAAGTCTTGGATAACCCATCAGGTGTCTTTCATTTTATGCAATCCCTTGCCTTGCTAATGTCTCCTGTCAAGTAAGTATGAATATGATTTCATAAATATGTTCTGATAATTTAAGAGTAGAAAACAGGACACACAATCTACTTATAAAACTCTGAAAGTGCATTGCAAGCCAAGTGCATTGCAGGCACAAATAATAGATTCAGTTTACTTCAGTTTCTTTTTATTCATTCATCTTAAAATGTGCCCTTGGCGATGTGTTCTCCTGCTGTGCATGGTATGGTGCAGCTTGCTTTCGGTTGACATTTTGGGTTAGAAGGAAGTTGGATGTTGGGATTTTAATTGTTTGGTTTTCCTTTCTGCGTGTTTATTTAACTTGCTGTTGTATCTGAAAAATGTAAGGTTTTGTATTGTCTAGTCTGAAATCTAGTATCCCAGACCTAATGTGGTATATTACATGGAATTGGAACAGCCTTTATTTGAGGCAGCTCTCCTGGAAGGTCTTTAGATGTAGTAGCTCAACATCTGTAAAACCAGTCTTATGAACGTTGATGTGGTGTCCGGCCAATGTGTCTACAACAGTTGTATGGGGTGGTGGCCTGCAGTTGTCATTTTGTTGACTCACCAAGTGAATGCCCTAAGTGGTTGTTGTAGAGTATGTCTTCTGAAATAATACACTTTATTTTTTAAAAGGATTTTTCTTATGCATGAGCAAGAACAGTGTTATTTCTTGCATATTTAAGTGTGCTTGCTATACAGGGCTGCTAGCCATGTATGTTATTCAGAGTATTGCTTGCAAGATCATATACTGAATACAGTAGATTGGTGTGAGTTTTGGAGGATATCATAGAATTATAGACTTTTTTAGGTTCGAAAGGACTCTTGAGATCATTGAGACCAACTGTTAACCCAGCATTGCCAGGCCCACTACTCATCTGTCTTAAGGACCACATCTGCACGGCTTTTAAATACCTCCAGGGATGGTGACTCCACTACTTCCCTGGGCAGCCCGTTCCAGTGCTTGACAACCCTTTTGGTGAAGAAATTGTTTCCTGATATTCCATCTAAACCTTCCCTTGTGCAACTTCAGGTCATTCTTTCTTGTCCTACCACCTGCTACTTGGTTGAACAGGCCAACTCCTGCCTTGCTACAACCTCATTTCAGGCAGTTGTAGAGAGCGAGAAGTTCTCCCCTCAGCCTCCTTTTCTCTAGGCTGAACAACCCCAGCTCTCTCAGTTGCCCCTCATCAGACTCGGTCTCCAGACCCTTCACCAGCTCTGTTGCCCTTCTCTGGACCCACTCCAGCACTTCAACATCTTGTATTGAGGGATCCCAGACTGAGCACAGCACTCAAGCTGTGGCCTCATCAGTGCAGAGTACAGGGCGCAATCCTTGCCTTGCTCCTGCTGGCCACACCATTCCTGATACAGGCCAGGATGCCATTGGCCTTCTTGGCCACTTGGGCACACTGCTGGCTCGTGTTCACCAGTGCCCCCAGGTCCTGTTCTGCTGGGCATCTTTCTGACATACTTGTTAATTTCTTGCTCTTGTATCTGTCTTTTAATATTTTCTCTGAATTCAGAATTTTTATCTTTCTCATTTATTGTAAATTTGTTTTTTCACTTTATATCAGAAATCGGGCGGACTTCATGTGCCATATGAAACCGAGTGAAAGGACAAGTTCCTCTTCATCTGGGAAAGAATCTGGAAACTGGACCCTGGTAGATGAAGGAGGAGAAGAGGTACAGCAAATGACTTCCTCTTTATGCTTTTGCTCAAGCTTATTGTATCCTCTTGTGAAATGGAGGAAGAAAAGCTGACTTCTTCAGTTAAAAAGCGTAATTTGAAACTTAGATCTTTTATCTGTGAAATAACTGTAGATAGTGGAGCTTCCAGGAATGGGTATTATCAGATAGAATTTTACGTGTTTGAGCTATTGTGTGCAAAAGGAGCATGGAAGTAGAAGTGTATTTCAGTAGGTCTTCAGAAGCTGGGCAGGACTAACTCAACCTTGCCTTTAGTTCTGTTTCCTAGCTGGGGAGGGCTTTCATTTAGGAACATACACAAAAGAGGAATTTAGGAACTTGCGTGTGTGTGGGAAAGAGAATTCATTTGTAATTTCTTTGTTTTCCTCTTACAAGCAAACTGCAGTTAGCACTGTAGTGAAGCCTTTTTAACATGCTTTTTATTATAAAATAACTAAAAGTGGCTGTATTTGTAGGATGAAGATCCTGAGACAAGCTGGATTCTGCTTTTGGAAGATGACTTGATTGCCCTGTTGTCACAATTTCCATTTCATGAGCTCTTCCAACAGTTCCTTGGGTTTAAGTCTGGAGGTAAATCAGCTGCTAAAGAGTTAGTCCTCATTTTGCTTACGCTAATTATATTAATGACTAAGACTGCCAAGAATGCTGCTGTATTAGGAGAGTCTCTTGAGTGAAGTAATAATAAACCTGTGCAACAGCTCACAGACTAAATATATGATATGGAAGTGTGGGCCATGTGCATGGGGTAACTTAAAAACTTACAGCAAGACTAGCATGCAAAACATTGAAGTATTTTCCTTTTAGTTTTGATCTGCTCTACAGTCATAGTCACAGATGTCTTTCAGACAATTTTCCCCTTTGCCCCTCTCAGCTGTAATATTACTGTGAATTTTTTTTTTTTTTTCCTCTGTATTATTCATTCTTTGTTTTTTTTAAATCTCTGGACAAGTACATGAAGATAACTGCTTGCTAGAGGCCTTATAACCTGCGTAGTTTATCTGTACTTTTGTGCTTAACAGATATTTATTGTTAATTTCATGAACAAAACATGAATTCCAGTTCCAGCTGGCAAACAGTTCATTGTTATGAACAGTAAATTGTTGTTTTGAGTGCTTGTTAAGTTACTTAATATCCAGAATTCACACACTTTTTTGAAACTAATTTTTCTGTCTTAGGTGCTTATTTTCCTGAAAAAACAACTCCCCAGGAGATGATGAAGATTTTTGCTTTTGCAAATTCCTTAGTAGAACTTCTGTCTGTGGGGTTGGAAACATTTAACAGAGCACGGTACCGGCAGTTTGTGAAACGAATTGGTCAGCTGATCAAGTAAGAGAATATTTTTATCTGTGATATGATTAAATCATTTTCATACAATCTGTTTTAGGAGCTGCTAAAAAAACCCCAAACAAACAAAACCCCACACCAACAAACCCAGACAACAATGACCAAACAAAAATCACCAAACCCCACCAACCAAAACAAATAAAACAAAAAAGCCAAGCAGTTCTTAAGTAGATTTTACTTTGAGTGTTGTTCAGTTCAGGTTTAGCCAGTCTGGGAACTTGAAATCTCAGGGCCCTTGACTCTGAAGCTGCATTTGAAGGGGAGAATTGCAGAATCAGAAAGGGCTGTGGAAGACTGGGCTGATTTCCATCAGGGGTGTGCTTAGGCTTGTCTTGGAAATCACTGAAATCCAACAGTTTCTTGAATCGTCCCCATTTGTAAGCAGTGTTACTGCTTGCTTTCTGTTGTTGTCTGGAGTTGTTTTAGGGTTTTAATCTGGTACTTGAAAATTGACGTATTGTTGCAGTAAGAAGATGTAATTGAAACCTAGAAGTTGCTCTTTATTTTTTAACTATCTAGCATTCAGTTCATGTGGCTTCTGTTTGTTTTCAAGGGGAGATGCAGTTAAGTCAGAAACAAAGCAAAATCCCTGTTTTTCTTTTTGTTATTAGAGTGGTAACCACCTTGATATGATTATTCCTTTATGAGCTTTTTGCATGTACTCCTGTTTCATTGTGTTCATTACCTTAAGGTAATATAATGCTCTAAAGTTTACACACAAACTAATTCGGTATAACTGAATATTATTCATTGTTTGTTTGCAAAACCAAGGAAAGATAACATGGGAATTCTTGACTAACCCTATTTGAAAAGGAGAAGGAAATGCTATTTATATGGAAATCTCTGGAAACCAGAGAGTGAAAGGTTCAACATACCTTTTGTCACCAGACTCTGATCTGGTTGCACTTGCTTATGTTTTTGTGATGTTGACATACTTAATGATCCTTCTCCAACTTGTTCTGCTGTGCAGGATGACGCTTTGCCATGTGAGTGACCACTGGGCCATATATGTTAATGACAATAAACAATATGGATCAGTAGCTCATCTCTACTCTGTGGAAAAATTGCAACTGGAGTTTGATGAGCTGTTTTTTAGAGCTGTTCTACATGTTCTGAAGGCAAAAAGGTAGGCTCTGTCCCATGTGATTGATATTGGCTTCATCTTGGAGGAGTTAGATATTTGGAGTAGCTTTCAATGCTTAGTGGTTTAAACAGGACTGCAGATACGCAGGGTTTTCAGCAAATTGGTGGCATCAAGATGGGGAGGAATTGCGCCTTGAATTCTAGCGTCTGATAGTAAGCTCTGAGGACTTGTTCAGCTCAAAATGAGGTTAACTTGGTGTCTGAGGTGCTAAGACACATCCTCACATTCCTGATTCTGTTATGTGGCAGGCTTGTGGGCATACTGGGATTTATCAGAGCAAAACTGTTTCAGTCTGCCTCTTCAAATCCAACAGATTGGGAGTCTGGTTGTTCATGTCCGAGATGCCTTACGAAACCTTATCCAGCAACATGCTTTGGAGGCTCTTCTTTGTTATGCACTGTGCAGAGAGCGAGCACCTGGAAAAGCTCTGCTCTGATCTGCAACCTACTGACTGCAAACGAAGACTCACAGGTAGAGTTCCTACATTCAGAACCAATTATAATAGATATGGCTCCTGCTGTGTTCTTTGCAGGTTCTGTTGTTGAGTGCACCCTCAGCAGTATGACCACTCCACAGGCCTTAGAAATGTCCTGGGCAGTTTGTGGTCTTCCAGTACTTGTTTGCCCGGACTCTCATTTTAACAGGAATTGCTGTGTCTAATTAAAACTGTGATTTTAGTTTTCTTTCTGGACAATAACTGCTACTGGTTGCTCCAGAGAGCTTGTTAATACCCCAATCTTCCTGTTTTCTTTTTTGTTTCTTGCCCTAAACTTGCTGGTTTTGGCGTCAGTAACTTGCTTTGTGGGCATCTACTCAACTTTCACAACTGCAGTTGTTTTCCTTGTCTCAGGCCCTCTTGATGCTTTTCTTGACCTCTGTGCCACCTTCTTCTGTTTCCCCTTCACTTCTCTGCTGTGTTGATCTCCATAGTGACTGTGGTTGCTTCAGCTATAGCACAGTTATTTAGAATCACAGAATTATTGAGGCTAGAAAACACCTGAGGTCATCAAGTCCAGCCAACTGCAACACTACGTTCCCTTTTCTGCCTTCATGGAAAGTATTTCAGGACTTGATTGATAGGGAGACAGGTAAACAAAGCAGTAACTCCCTACTTCACAACCTTGTTGCTGTATTTAGGGAGAAGCAAATCTCACTCTGACAGTTTTACTTTTCAGCTAGCTGATAGCCCAGCGAGCTGTTGGAACATCAACTAAATCTTTTAGCGGAGAAGTAGATGAAAATGGTGATCTTGAGAGGTTACTGAGCGTCTTTTAAGTCTGTGCAAGCTCAGCTGACGTACAAGACTGTACGCAGAGTAGGAGAGGGATAACAAGAACGTAGCTGTGTATGCTTTATGAAGTGCTGATCTGATTAGCACTTGCCAGCCAAAGCAGTAGCAGTTACACTGTTTCAGTAGCACTTTGTTTTTGTGAGAAATTTTTACTGCAACCCAAATAAAGAGAATGTAATAGGATGTGGTGAGTTGCAGCTTTGACAGTAACACTGATTTTTTTTTGTTGTTTGTTGTTTTGTTCAGGCATTGCTTTGCTTCTGGATAACTTCTATGTTTAAAAGTCCCTGGTATGCTGATGTAGTATATTTTTATCCTCTTCATTCTCCTCGAAAGATTATGTCAGCAGAATACTATTTTTCACAAATGTCTAGACAGGGAATGTCAACAGTTCTTTCAGTGAAATCCATCTAATCTATTGAAAGAGCTTCTTTTTACTGACATGAATATAATGCTGACTTAATTTCCTGTAATCCATACCCTAGAAGACCATGGCATTAACAATCTCATGAGGGGAACCTTTTTTATTGTTCTCCCTTCCCAAATTAAATTTAGGAAATGTTAAGAGTGACAAATCTCCATGAGGTAGCAAGCCTTGGTAGTTGAAACTTTAGGCTTACGTATATAGTGGTGGGAGCATAGTTGCTTTTAAGGAATAGTTAGAAATAGCATGATAAAATGGAGCACAGTGATGGAGCTGCACTTATGGAGGTGACCTCTTGACTGTGAGAGCTACCAGGTGTAGAATGACCCCCTGGGGAAATATGGGAGGTCTGGTTACTCAAGGTATTCTTGATTGGACCAAATGTTAATAAACTTACTGTGGAACATGGATTTTGACTGACAAGCAGTGACCTTGCAGTTTCTTCTTCGTGTTTGAAACCTGTGTGAGTGCAAACGTGTTCCCTGTAAGTTTTATGAATATAGGACTGTTTTTGTCTTCCATGGTGATTGAAGATGAGAACCTGCTGAACAACGTGTCTGTTTACAGCTTCTTTACTGCCAGTACCAAGATCTAAGGAGCCACTGGGTTTTTTTAGGGTGTCTCTGAACTTCATTTTTGGTGAGATCAAATAGAAGAGGCAGGGAATTGGCTCAAGTAGCAACTGTGTGGTGAAGATGTCATCGCTTCACTGTGAGATGATAGGATTTCAGTGGACACTCTCTTCTTTTTCCTTGTTCCTGTTCTTTAGTCCCAAGCTGTGGCTTTGAGGTTGGCAGGGTGGCGTCTGCAGCATGTGGAAAAAAACTCTTTACTTCAGTTGCACAATCCCCTAGCACACTATTTATGAGATGTATTGGCTGTACAAGTTTGACCTTCTCAGACTGAAGTACAGTTGCAGAATTCCTCAAAGCCCTTAAAATAGAAACTAACCTAAGTGGAAGTGTTTAATCAGAAGCATGCCTATGCAGATAAACTAGTTGGCTGCCACAATGAGTGCTTTTTCAGCTGCTCAGCCGCTCTCCAAACCAGTTTACAACGCAAATGCAGCTTTCAATGGCTGTTTTGCTGCGCAAATTTCAAATTATTTGGAAGAATAATGCCCTGTACAAGTTTCAGCTGCTCAGCCGCTCTCCAAACGAGTTTACAATGCAAATGCAGCTTTCAGTGGCTGTTTTGCTGCACAGACTATTTCAAATTTATTTGGAAGAATAATGCCCTGTACAAGTTTCTTTGTACCCTTACCTTCCTGTTGTCCCCCATGCCGAGGAATGAAATGTTTATTCGCATTTGGCAATGTCGCAATATTTGGTTCAAAGAGGAAACCTGCACTGAATTCAAGTGAAAGCATCTCTTGGCCTTCCTTTCCTGTACAACTTCTGTTCTCTGTTTCCAGAGGTATTTTCCCAACAAGTTCATTCAGTAATTTTCTTGCATAAGGTTTGAGAAACTGAAATGGAACTTTCCTTGTGACTCTTGGATGTTAACTTCGGCCCAGGGCTAGAGGCTTGAAGTGTTTTTATTTGTAACAGGCAGAGAATAATCTCCTCAATTTTATTGCTGCTGAGATCGTGGTGTAAGGAATGGGCGGAGACTCAGCTTGATCAAAACCTTTCTGCTTGGATGGGTTCAGCTTTAATCTTACCTGTTTGCTGATTAAAACTAGAATCTTTTAATTCCACAGATTAAGTCCAAATTACATGAATTGCCCTAGTATGTAACAGAAGCCAAAACCACGATAATAGTTTTAATAAACAAAAAGATTCAAGCATTTTTTTCTGTGGATAAGTGACACTGCATAGTTAATACTAAAAATTGAATTCCAGCTGTTCTTGAAACAGCTTTAGCTTTCACTATGAATCACTAGCCTATTTACTGAATGATATGGGTTCACTGCTTGTTATGGTGTTTCTTGCACCTTATTTTTAAGCAGCTGATACCAGCCTTTTCTGAAGAGAGGATACTAACCCAGTAATGGTAATTCTTTTGTTATCAATTCTTCCTCTGGGATTGGACTGTCAATAGATGTGTAAATATTGATGATGCATGTTCTGTAATAGTTCTTTTATCAAGTTTCTTTCATGTGACATTTTTCTAGACCCAGAGCATCTTGACAATTTTGAGAAGTATCTCAAATCTATGAACTGCTCAGAAGAAATCTGTCTGCTCACCACATTTGCTCAGATGGCACAAACCAAACGGGCTGATATTGATGAGGATTTTGTCAAAATCATTGTTCTGGAGATATATGAGGCGAGTAATATTACTGGTCTATTCAGACAAAAAAATGAATGTGCTCTTTACCTAACAGCGGAAGATGTGAAACGTTCATGGCTTCTGTAGTTTATTCTACTATCAAAGAAAGTGCTCCTTCTGAGGTTTATAATCTAGTACTGAATTCAATATCCTAAAGTGTATGTTTTTCTGGGAGAAAGAACAGCTTTTCCATAGACCAAGCCAAAGTGAAATAAATGAACAAAAATTGCATTGCTTTATTTTTTCTTGCAGAGATCTGGCTTGTAGCTCTCAAGTTCCTTGTGTTTGGTGTTGGATTTTTTTTTTTTGGCACTTACGATGTGATAATTTCCTTGCCTTCTAGGGCAGTCCGTTTGTGTTTTAATGTTGGCATTTACCAACTTTGTCCAGGATCACTGAGAGCAATTCAGTTCTGTATTTTCCAAAACATATTTTATTGTGGTCTGTGAAGGTCAGACATAACTTCTCTCTGCTCATCTTCTCAGGTGTCTTATGTTCGTCTTTCCACAAGAGAGACATTTTCAAAAGTTGGTCGAGAACTCTTGGGAGCAATTGCCGGCATCCATACACAGATTGTTTCTGTGCTGCTGGATCGAGTTAGAGAGACCATTGAGCAAGTTGGGATGGTAAGTGCTAACATTTATCATTTGCAACAGGCACACAGTTAAAACCAGAGGACATATCAGACTGTGGTGTAAAGCACAGCTTGGTATGAAGGGATCGTGTTAAGTACCTGTTTATGGGGTTGTTCTTTGGATCATGTTACTCTTTAAGATGCAAGTGCACATTGCTGATTATTGTTCCATGCTGAGTACTGATTAGCCTTTTTCTTTTTGTCCCTCAAAGGTTTCTTTATATCTGTTTAAAGAACTGCCATTGTACCTTTGGAAGCCTTCTTCCTCTGAGATAGCACTGATCCGTGACTGGTTATTAAATTACAACCTAACAACAGTGGAGAATAAACTAGCCTGCATCATCTTGGAGGGGCTAAACTGGGGATTTGGTGAGCATGTATGTATTAAAAACAGGAGGCCTGAAGTTGGTAATTTTTACAGAGTAACAGTGTTACGCAACCTGGGACTGCAACTGATTGTCAAAACAGTTAATTACATGCTTTTATGTGATGGCGTAGGATGGGAACTCAGTGGCAATTTTGCAGCATTCTGCTTGAGGCTTTGCTTGTGTTCCTTTCTTGTATTGCTGCAGCTGAGCTGAAAAGGGATATTTAAGCAGGAGTTTCTTCACTCTAAACAAGAGGAAACAGCTAACAGGAGAATTTTTGTGAGTGATTTAATATATGTGTGGCTGCAGAAATAGAGAAATCCTCCAAGAAGTGTGTGAGACTGTTGTGACTGTAGTTTACAGGCCAGTGTTTTTCACTGTGCAAGGAGACTAATGATTGAAATTAGAAATTTCAAACCCCTGAGCAGTATTAAAATGATTGGAAAATATTCTATAGAGTGGATTACTCCAGGAGCATGAGTTCAGGACTCAATTTGGAGTGAATGCTTGGGGTTTTTTTTAAGAGAGAAACAGAAATAGATTGAGGGAAGCGTCCTGTGTACAGTGATGCATTTTAGCACTGTAATCTGTGCATTTGATTGTACTGAACTTTTCTTTCTGTGCTGGTACTTGTACATGAAGATTGTCTTTTTCTCCCTGTTTCTTGATGACACGTGAAAACAAAGGAATGATTGAAAAAATTAACTGTGAGGTCTTTGCTGTGCATCTTATCTGTACCTTTTGATATGAGGAAAAATAGTTTTTTAATCTGGCGATCCATAAGAAGTTCTGTGTTTCAATACAAAACCCATGATAGGTGTTTTTTTTAGTTTTGCTTTGGTTTTAAAAGCAAGTTTTACAGTGTCCATAATGTGTAATTTAAAATGTCATTCTTTGGATTAATTGCTATAAATCCACCAAATGCCCGTGAGAAGTGATTATGGTTACTTTTTTTTTCCTGGAGGTAATCTAAGTGTTGAGCTTTGTATTGCCCAGTGTGAGCATGTAATCTTGGGCTGAAATTTTTATTACTGCTCAGGATTTTGTCTAGGTATTGTAATCTTTTTTGGGCTGTTCAAATTAAGATATATTTCTTTGTAGTACAACTGAGTGATACAGTTGTAGAGACATTCAAAATGAGGCAAAGTTTTGTCATGTGATTCTGTTTTTAGCAGGATGCTCTTCATCTGGATCCAGCTGTCCATGCTGAAGTTGCATTGATGGTCCTGGAAGCATATCAGAAATATCTCTCCCAGAAGCCATATGCTGGGCTGCTTTCTGAAAGCATAAAACAGGTATTCCTTCCTCAGAATTACAGAAACAGCTTATTGATAATGATAGGTAGGAAAAGCTGCAGACCAAGACTTGTTTTCTGCTTTAGTTTTTAAATGCTGTTCTATCTCCTTACTACTAGAACATAATACACTAAGTCTTGGTATTTTGGCACCTACAGACCTCTTTGAAGATAGATTTATACTGAACCCACCTGGATCCAATCCTGCATAATGTGCTCTAGAGGATCCTGCTTTAGTGAAGAAGTTGGACTAGATGATAGAAGTTTCCAGTTTGTTCCCCTTGTAGGTTTGCATTATTAAGTCAGCCTGTAGTTGGATGGTTGCAAACTGGTCTTGCTCCTTTGCTCATGTGGAGTTGGCCAGTACTTGCTTAGTGAAAGGCTACATGCTGTTACTGGTGAACATAAGACATGCTTCTTGTGCCCTCAGCTCTTAGTCTTAATTTAAAGACTCAAGACTTCAGGAGCTTTTCGGTAGTGATCAGTGCTCTTACCTGAACACCCTATGAACATTTATTATGTTGATTTTACTTTCTTCATTCAACAGTGTGCTGTATGTCCCGACTCAAGACTTCAGGAGCTTTTCGGTAGTGATCAGTGCTCTTACCTGAACACCCTATGAACATTTATTACATTGGTTTTACAGCATGCTGTTGAATGAAGAAAGTATGTCCCCAAGTTTTACAGAAGGGGAATGGAAGGATAGAAAGATCAAAGTTAAAAATCCCTTATCTGGGTATTCAATCCAAGATGCTTCTGTTCGTTTATTTATTCACAGCTTTTAGCATTGTGCTGTGCTCTCTTTCTTGTACAAACGCCTTCCTCTCTCCTCCTCCCCTGTGCTTTTCTCTTCAGTCTTCTCTTCCCACCCTTTGAATGTTCCTTTTTTCTTCTCTGCTTTTTTCTGACTTACTCTTCTGCAGTCTTTGATCATGGTTTGTTGTCTTGTGCTCCCTAGATGAGTACTCTTTTTAAGCCTGTTTCAGCCTTAGTTGCCACTTGTATAGGTGAATCTGTACTGACTTGCATGAACTTATAACTGGAATTTGAGAGAAAATAATGCTTGGGTTCTTGTACCCTCACTCAGAGAGGGTGAAATATCTACATGGGCTCCCAGCTTTTCAATCGACACTGGTCTTTCAGAGCATGTACAATAGTTTTTTCCAAAGATTTATAATTTCTTCTGATCTAGGCAGTGTCTTTTTGATAACAGGCACATGTATATGACACAGAAACACTGCCTGTCCATGTTAGACTTCTTTATAAGGACAGGCTGTCAGATTTTAGCCATTTCTTTTGGCACGTTATTTTTTTTTATATACATGTTTGGTGTATATAACTTTTCTTTCACTATCAGTCTTAAACATTACTGAAGATTGTGTGTGGTTTTAGTTTTGTTTATTTTTTTTTAAGTAGTAAAAATAAAACTTAATCTGGGATTAATATCTAATTTGGAAAACTTTATCCAAACAGGCTAGATTGGTAGCCTTTACCAGAAAGAATGAGTGAGGGGAGAGGGGTGGTGGAAATCAAGGCTGTAGAAACATACATTTCAGATAAACTTAATTGGTGGCACTACATGGTATGTCTGAAGAATAGTTACTGTTGCTCTGTTCTTGTGTCATAATATTGTGATTGAAGGAGAAGCTCCTCCAGGCTGACCCAAGTACTAGGCTAGTTCCAAATGTGCTGTGGTGTGGTT